AAAAATGAAAAAGAAAAAATATGTAAAAAAAACAGTAAGTACAAATCATTATGTGTATTAAAATAGTAAACAATATGCAAAAAACAATATGTAATACATATTTATTTAAAGAATGAGCATAATTCAATTAAAATCTTGGACACATGTTCAGGAAATGCTACCCTCATAGCCAGTGGTAGAAGTTAATGCATCAATACATGACAATCATGGCTTTTTAACATTCCACTCACTCGAAGAGTGTCTACATCAATACATCTAGAAATGTTGCTTGAATAACCATCTGGCACTGAAATGTTCTTAAAGTACTAAGGAATGACTTCTTGCCTTTATTATTCATTGTATAGATTTCTAAAAGATATTTCCCGTTCTCATCTGGCCAAAAGTCTGACTTACACTTCCATTCTTTAAAGTCTTTTCGAGCATTGAGGTGATCTTTAGACTTTGCACTATCACCTAACAAGGTGTATAAAATATTATCAAACACATTCTTCTCAATGTGCATCACATCAAGATTGTGACGCAATAAGTTGTACTCCCAGTAAGGAAGATAAAAAAAATATGCTTTTCTTTTTCCATTGTTTAACACGTGTATTGCCACGATCCCTTTTCCCCCTTCCTCTAACTTCTTGACTTCGCCCAAAAGTGACATCAACATTCTGGACTTGACCAAGGACATCAGAACCAGAAATTATTTTGGGTGGATGACGAAGCTCTTGCTGTCCATTAAAACGAGCTATGTTCAATCTAAACCGATGTCTTTGATCAAGAAAGCGTCGATGACCCATAAAACACCATTTCTTACTATAAGGAAGGCGACAAGGTATACAATCAAAGTTGCATGTTGGACAAGCAAGTCCAGTGTAGGTGTTCCATCCAGACAATGTTCCAAGACCAGGAAAGTCACTAATAGTCCACAACAAGGCTGTATGCAACTTCAACATCTCCCGCATAACAGCATCATATGCATCTACACCATCATACCATAACTCCTCCAACTCTTTAATCAAGGGTTGTAGATAACATCAATATCATTTCCCGGCATTTGTTACCAGGGATGATTGTTGAAATAATCAAAGATGTAGACTTCATGCAAACCCATGGAGGGATATTATAAGGAACTAAGGCAATCGGTCAAATGCTATAACTAGAACTCATGTTACCAAGGGGATTAAAACCATCAGTAGCTAATCCAAGTCGCACATTGCGTAGGTCTGATGCAAACGAGGTGTTTGTAGAATCAAACTTCTTCTAAGCTTCAGAATCCCGAGGATGCCTCATCATGCCATCATTGTTATTTATCATAGCATGCCATGTCATATCATTTGCTGTCTTCGACGACAAAAACAATCTTTGTAATCTCGGTTTCAATGGGAAGTATCGAACAACTTTAGCTGATACCTTATTCTTATTGCAGTTTTCATTGGATCTTAAATCACCACCCTTATTATTTGTCTTCCATCTAGACATGTGACAAACTTTGCATGCTTGCTCATTTTCATCATTGACACCCCAATACAACATACAATTGTTTGGGCATGCATCAATCTTTTGATAATCCAAACCCAACTTGGTGATAGTTTTCTTTTCCTCATAGAATGATTTTGGAATTTTTGCATTATCAAATGCATCTTGTAATAGCTCCAATACCATTTTCATAGCCTTGTTTGTCATCCCACATAGGCATTTAATGTGATATAACTTTACCATAAAAGAAAGCTTTGAATATTTCGTACACCCTTAATATAATGGTTGCTCTCCATCTTTAGCAAATTCAAAAAATTCTTTAGCTTCATTTGTTTTCGTTTGTCTTCCTTGGGCAATATCTTCATTAGATTCGAGGTTATGCTCATTCAGGTGGTGTAAATCAACTCCAAATGCATTATTGATCATGTTTCGCACTGGATCTTCATCAACCATATTGTCTTGGCTGTCATTGGCAATAAATGCAGCAGCAACATTATTGACTTCTCCTGTGTTTGTCTCCCCATGGTTGAACCAAAAAGTGTAACATATTGGGAATTGTTTGCAAATTAGGTGATCATACACAACGTCTCTAAACCCACATAATGGACAAGGACATATAATTTCACCTTCAACTCCACGATTTTACAAGAACACCGATCTTCAATATCTATATTGCTCACATCCACCTCAATTAGAACCACATTAACTTCCCACGTTGATATTAAATTTGAAAACTAATTCAAATAACAACCTTACAATTAAGTTAGGTCAATAGACTTACATTTATGCTTTGCTAAAACGTGTCATCTTCAAATATTTGGGAGGGATTATTAAAATTAAAAATAAAATAGGATTCTTACAGTAATTCATTTATTTAAAATATTAACCATAATTTATTTTATGAAAAAAATATTTGTCCTTTTTTTTGTACATAAATATTTGTCATTTTAATTGACACAAGTTGTGCTCATTTCATTTTCACAAAAAGATGGGTCCCATACCTTTATTTTATTTTATTTTGTTCATTCTCTCTTTCTCATGACCTATTTCTTTCTCTCACTTAAAATGACACACTTTTTCCTTTATTTTATTTACATAATTCATTAAGATACATTTTATTTATGAAGTATACTAAAAATTATATTCTTTTTAATTTAAATATTGAAACGCCAATTAAGTCAAACACATAAAAGATTTACATGATCTCTGGTGCTTGTTCTCATCAATGCTACACATAAAAGAGTTTATTTTGAAATTGCGTCTCTCACTTTGCTCTTCTCCTAATGAATTTCAATTTCTCGAATCTAACATAATGCTTCAGTGATCACTCACCAACAGGTTATTGGTTTCCCGACAATTAATCTAAATATTCATTATTTATAATATTAATTATTATTTCTTTTATTTATTGTTTTCATTACAATTTCCTTTATATATAAATATTAAATATAATTTTTTAATCTTGGACCTTAATTATAATTTCTATCACGTTTGTAAATTTTCTACATATTTTTAATTATAATATTAGTTATAAATTTTTAATATAATATTAATTATAAATTTTTAAATCACTAATATTATTTATCAAAAAATTTATTTATAGCATTATTCATCATTTTTAATATTTTAATTATAAAATATTTTTTATAATATTAGTTATCATTTATTTGTTTTCATTTTTAATTATAACTTTCTTATTTACATTATACATTAAAAGATTAAATTCACACACACCCTCACCTACAACACATATTTATTCATCAAAAATATTATATTCAATAAAAATCATATGAATCGAAAGATATGTAATTCAAAAATATTATATTCAAAAATAAAATTTATATTTTGAAAATGTCGAAATTTATATTTAATATATTTTTTCTACCATTTTTAATTTACTAAATTAAATATTTTATTCATTAAAACATTTATTCATTAAAATAAAACAATTCACTATTTTTATTTTTATATATATCAAGTACACAAATATTTCATAATCATTTATATCTCTCATGTCTAATCATAAATTTGTCTTAAATTTCATCTTTCGGGTTGGAAATGTCATATTTCCACATATTTATTAAATTTTAATGTGAATTTTGTGTTAGACTTGTTATTGTGTTCTAACTCTCCCAGCCTCCTTCTTGCCATTATACGTGTGTAGTTATCATTCAATATGTCCACTTCTATTATAATCTCCCTATTAAGCGAATAATTGTCAATTAGTATGTCTTGTATACGTGCAATGACATGAACAAACTCTCAAAATTGAAATCCATGATCAACTACTGCTCCTTACAATCACATCGCTGCCTCTAAGTCCTACATGTTTGATCTTGTAGCACCTAACCCATTTTCTCATTGAGCAAATGGTACGAAATAAATTTGATTGATTTTTAAATCAAAATTACTATGTTAAATCTTCAGTTTCATCTCCAAATTATACTCTATTAATTTAACTTTTCATTATTCCAACTGTACCGGCCTCCATATTAGGGTATGTATATAAATTATGTAACTATCATTCAATTTCGGTGCTTTAAGTCTAAATTATATCAAGGAGATTTTAGAAGAAGAGATACTTAACAAAATTATATGGTTGAACCAATGTTATGAAAATGCGACTTATCATTGACTCGGGTAGTACATAACTGGTTCACTGGTCCAATTGGAAGTGTCACTAGTTGAAAAGCTTCATTTAAATAACATGTAAAAGTATGTAATATATATATATATATATATCTATATATATATAAATATATATATATATATATATATATATAAATATATATATATATATGGGGCAGGATCCTTTGACATCGGTGTCAAATTTTAAAATTAGACACTAAGTCCTAACCGTTGATTTTCGCCAATCAACGGTTATCATTTATTATGAATCAAATTCATTAATTAACTATTAATTCTTAATAAATGATAACCGTTCATTGGTGGAAATCAACTGTTATAATATTATTGTTATAATTTGGTGTTAAATTTCAAAGTTTGACAACGGTGTCAAATGATCTTATCCCCCTATATATATATATATATATATATATATATATATATATATATATATATATATATATATATATATATATATATATATATATATATATGTTAATAATAATAATAAAATAGCACAAGGAATTCAATGACATAGTGGTTGTTGTCATTTAATTCGTCGAAGGTGTATTGTGTTCAAATCATGTTAGCTGTCATGTCGGTTTGATTAACCGACATGAAATTGTATATTCTGGGTCAGTTTCAACCGACGTGAAATGATACATTTGGAGGCGGTTACAAACCATCGCTAGCAAAATAAAAGGATAACTACAAAATAAACAAAATTAAAGTAAGTAATAATAATAAAAAAAGGAGTTAATAGAAGAAAACATAGATAAGAAAGAAAGGTAATGAAAAAGGAAAAGGTGTGTGATCTGAGAGAATGTGAGAATGCACCTGAAGTTCTCATCCACGAGTGAAACACCGAGAGCAGGGAGGGTTAACATGGGGGGGACAAGGAGGTTGAGGAAATGGGTATAGAGGTACTGGAAAAGGAAGGCAAGCAAGGAAGTGAAACAAGTTTGGTAAATGCAGGGTCTGAAATTGTTTCAACACAGGGAAGAAAACTTGTTTACTACAAGGACAAATTACTTGTATTAAACGGGGATGGGGGGTCAGACAGTGACCAGGCTGAGCAAAGAGAGTTGAGGAGAATGGAAGAAGAGGAAGAAAGCCAGTGGGGTGCTCTTCTGGAGATAGATTCAGAGGATCATATGTGCCCTACATACAAGGTCACCAAAGAGAAACTTAAGCAAGACTGTCAAAAATGGAGAAAGTCACTGATCATCAAACTGATGGGGAAACGTCTGAACACTAGGTTCCTGATGACAAGGCTGAAACATATGTGGGTGTTGAGGAGCAACTACGAGCTTATTGATTTGGACAATGACTTTCTGTTAATTCGCTTCATGGATGAACAAGATTATCAGCATGTCCTCCATGATGGACCTTGGATTGTAGCGGACCACTACGTTGTAGTCCAAAGATGGAGGCCACTATTTGACCCTTACGATGAATCTTTCAAGAAGTTGGCAGTGTGGGTGAGGATACCGGGACTCCCTATGGAACTATACTCATCCTCACGCCTGTGGAAAATAGGAGGATTATTTGGCAGGACCTTGAAGATAGATAGGAACTCTCTAAAGAAGATGGAGGGGGTGGAAGGAGAAGTGACAAAGAGGGCTAAATTCGCCTGGATATATGTTGAGGTGGATTTATAAAAGAGTCTCATATCACAATTTTTTTTCACAGGGAAGACCTATCACGCAGGTTACGAAGGCTTGCATAGAATTTGCTTCGCTTATGGCCAATATGGCCATCGGAAGGAAACATGCAGGCATGGTGGCACTGCGAAACAGGTCACGGCAGCAATGAACTTCACATCCCCCATGAACGGAGTGGAGCGAATGAAAAACCTAAATACAGAAGAGAACAAGCAAGAGGGAGACACAGAGGCATTTGGAGAGTGGATGGTGGTTCAGAAACTGAAGAAAGGTCGGAGGATGAGACCTTCGCCGGTAAACCTGATCGGTGAGGAAGGAAAACATCCGATGAAGCACCTTGGAGATGCAGGAAACCAGGAGAAGTCTTCGAACAACCTGAGTCAACGTAACTCGGGAACACCAGCAAAACCTGCGAACAAACCTAGCTCGTCAGAACACAGAGAGATAGACCAAAGACAGGAGGACATTAAATTGGTGGAAACAATGAGCCCAAAAGAGACAGCCTCGGACCTACAGACAGACACGACAGAACCTTCTTTGGTGTTAACAAAAAGGGAAAAGGAATCAGCCCTTAAAAAGACCTTTTCAGAGGGAAAGAGTATGAAGAAAGGGGGTGCAAGTAAGGAGAAAGACGTCAGTGGGCAGGTGGGCCCAAGCTCATCTAAACCACCCATCCCTTCCCAGGGGGCCCCACAAGGGAGGAAAAAGAATACCTCAGCAGAGAGACCACTAGGAAACAAGCATGCAACGTCTGGTAAACAGTCTATGCATGGGAAAATCAAGGTTAAGGAGGCAACAACAAAAGAGAAAAGCAGCCAGGCAGACGACGCAATGGAACAAAAATATCATCAAAGTAGGAAAAAAAGGGAGGAAGAGATGCTTCAGATCATGATGTACACCAGTGAGGATAAAAAAAAGTCAGATCTCGATAAAAGCTTGGACATATTGGGAGGTGCTCGCTCCCATCTTGGTATCTAATATTGAGGCTTTATGCCTTACCCCTTAACGTTTATTAGTTTTTATGTCAATTTGTTCTTGGAATTGCCGAGGGGCAAATAAAAAGGGGTTGACTTGCCTCATTAGAGATGTTGTTAGGAAGTATGATATGAAGGTATTGGCCTTACTTGAAACGCGTATTAGTGGTTTCTGTTAGTCCCTGTGACACTCAAGAAGGGGGGTTGAATTGAGTGATAGAAGATTTTAACAATTACGTGAAAATATATTTTTAATTTTCTTTACCAAAATTAAATTTAAAAATAAAAGGCACAGAAAATTAACGTGAAAAACCTCCTGAACTCACAGGAGTAAAACAACCACGATCTCAATAATTTCAAGTACAAATTAACCCCAATTTACTCTTGATATCTAAACCCCAATATCACAATAGAGATTGCTATTTCAACCTAACCCCTTAGGTCTAAGTTCCCCAATTGTGCCAAGACAATTGCTCCCCTATTGTTAACTCTAACAATAGCTAGAATAACACACACAAAAAAACTTTACTAATACTTCTCAAAAGAATAAAAGATGACACTTTAAAAAATTTTTTAAACTAAGTGCAATCCTCTATAAAAGCCCCCGAGAGAAGTGTCTCTTTTGATCAGCAGAGGTCTTGTATATATAGATAACTTTTGTTTGACCCATTCTTATCTTCTTCCATCAATTTGAAATATCCCACTTTTAGTTGCCTATTTTTTTCTCTCTCTTCATATCATCAGCCATAAAATCTGGGAGCATATCTTGATATTTAAAATCTTGTTGTCAAAGCTGCAACCTTATCTTAATATTCCCTTTCTTCAAATATTATCTTTTAGAATTCAAAATCCAATCCTTTCATCTCAACAATAGATTGTTATCTTTCAACTGTCTTGATTCTTTATCCTCATTCTTTCAACCTTCAAGTGTTTGACTTGGTCCTTCCCAATCGTTGCTGCTGCACACGTAAAAATAGCAAACATTAATCATTATGGTTTCAATTGTTTGTTAGCATCAGAACAACCCAATGCAATAGCCAACAAATTCCCCCTTTTTGATGATGACAAGCAATTGATGTTATAAGGATAAAGTGACAAAATATGGAGTAGCTAGTGATGGTAATGGGAACTGCAAATGGAGTGCTAACATATGAACCATTTTCAGTGCAAAAAGAATTTTCTGTCATGCTAAAAATAATTTATAAAACAGAACCAATTTGGCATGAAATCAGCTAGTGTATATGGATAATACTAATTGTGCAGTACTAGTATTATTCAGCAACTAATGTGCAAAATAAATTAGCAAACTAATGCAGCAACCTCATTTAATCTACTTAGGCATAGGCATAGGCATAGGCATCATATTATTTTCCCCCTCTTGGCATCATCAAAAGAATAGAAAGAATAGGTATGAATATAATGAGGCTGTGAAATAGTAAGTGTAGAAAAGAAAATTGCTTAATTGAGAGGAAAATAGCAAAAAAAAATTCAAATTTTGAAACACTATCAAGAGACCAAGTGAAGTCAAGACACTATTAAAGTATCAATGGAGAGATATATGAGTAGGCTAAATAGAAAGTTCATAGCAGCATAAAACAATAATTTGGCAAATCATGCTTCTTTTCACTGAAAAGTGCTCTCTCAAGTGTTTTACAGTTAACACACAGAGTTTCTCCATAGGCTTGTATATCATGACCACTTATCAATATCTTAAGATGTAGAAATTCCAAGCAGAATTGAAAACCATAGCGGTTAAAGGTAGGATTTTTTATTTTTGTTGGTAAAGGAAGACAAGGTGTGAAAAGTATGGAGGCAATTGGAGTGGGTTAGCCAAAGGGTACACACTACAAGTCAAAACTAGGCAAAACTATAACTGTTAAGATCCTTTGGTGATGACTTCCTTTCATCAATGGGGCTTTGTCATTGTATTCTTCATATTGACTTATCCGTAGAAACCTTTCAAGCTGCCAAAAGCTCACATATTTGAATTGATCATTAAATCTATGAGCAATTAATACCTTCCTTTCTAGGTGTTCCCCTTGTTTTTTTTTTAATTTGCTCCCGCTTCTTTTTTTCTTTTCTTTTTTTTTTTGAGTGTACAGCTTTGCAGTACCCTGTACATGACTTCAAATAGAACATTTTCCACCAATGCAGTACCCTTTGAGAGTTAGAGAATGGTTCATCAGTGGGACAAGTACCGGAGGAAATGAGATAACAGGGAAAAAATATGGTAGAAATTTTATTTTATTTTTTTTGGGGGGGGGGGGGGGGAAGGGGTTAAAGAATGGCTAGAGATGTTCAAAAGAGTAAGGCTCAGTCTCTGAGTTTCAATTCAAACGAGAAATTTCTCAACCATAAGATGTAAGCATCAATTACACAAGTTCTAGATTACTCCATTCTCTCATAGAGGTGTTTCTCTCTTCTCATATACTCACATGATACACATGACTAACCAAATAAATTGAGTTATACTCCAATGAATCTCCATTTAGCCAACTAGGGTGGCTGCAAGATACCATGAATAAGAATTATAAGCATCTGATACAGACAGAAACAACAATATGGATAAGGAACCACAATGAACATAATGATCAGTTGTGATAAAAAAGATATATAGGGTTGAGAAGAGATATGAATATGTACTGATCTCAGTGCACAAATATTTAGTAAAAAATCTAAAGGACCATTGAAGTCAATGTTCAGGCATTCAAGGTAAACCAACAATATGAAATTTATCCTTTTCTAGCCAATCATCGGGGTTGCAAGATATGAACTTATGCATAGCTAATCAATCCTAGTTCCAATCTCAACTTTTCAAATCTATCCCTACTCAATGGTTTAGTAAAAATATCAGCAAGTTGATTTTCAGTGGAACAAAAATTCATCTGAATTAATCCTTTTTCAACACAATCCCTTAAAAAATGATGCCTTATGTGAATGTGTTTGGTTCTAGAATGCAGGATAGGATCTTTGGAGATACTTATGGCACTAGAATTATCACAATAAATGGGCATACAACCAACATTAATACCAAAATCAACCAATTGTTGCTTGATCCATAATAATTGAGTGCAACAAAGAGCAGCTGAAACATACTCAGCTTCTGTAGTAGACAAGGCAACAGAATTTTGTTTTTTAGAACCCCAAGTCACCAAGCAAGGACCAAGGAATTGAGCCATACCTGAAGTGCTTTTCCTATGGACAAGATCCCCTGCAAAATCCGCATCACTATATGCTACAAGATCAAAATTAGCACCCCTTGGATACCATAAACTTAATTTATCAGTTCCTTTTAGATATCTTAAGATCCTTTTGACAGATTTCAAATGAGATTCTTTAGGATTGGATTGAAATCTTGCACACAATCCTACACTAAAGACAATGTCAGGCCTACTTGCAGTTAGATACAAAAGGGATCCTATCATACCTCTATACATTTTCTCATCCACATCCTTACCATCTTTGTCGTCAGTCACTCTATTACCAGTGGCCATTGGAGTGTAATGAGGTTTAGAGTCCACCATTCCGTACTTCTTCAAGAGTTCTTTGAGATATTTTTGTTGATGAATCAAGGTTCCTTTTTCTGTTTGGGAAATCTGCAGACCTAGAAAAAATGTTAATTCACCTATTAAACTCATCTCAAATTCTTGTTTCATCAAACCTGCAAATTCATCACACAAAAGGTCATTAGTTGCACCAAAAATTATGTCATCAACATATATTTGTACAACCAAAAGATCTTTTCCTTTAGTTTTAAAAAACAAAGTCCTATCAACTTTCCCACGTGTGAAACTATTTTCAAGAAGAAATGTAGAAAGTCTTTCATACCAAGCTCTAGGAGCCTGTTTCAAACCATAAAGAGCCCTATCGAGTTTATAGACATAATCTTTAAGGATAGGATCCTCAAAACCAGGTGGTTGTTCTACAAAGACTTCTTCTTGAAGAATACCATTCAAAAATGCAGTCTTGACATCCATTTGGTGCAATTTAAAACCCATGAATGCAGCAAATGCAATTAAGATT